TTTTTTTTTTTTTTTTTTTTTTTTTTTTTTTTTTTTTTTTTTTTTTTTTTTTTTTTTTTTTTTTAAGCTGAAAAGAAAATGCAGTCATTTGGAAGCAATTGCAGTGCAAAGTGTGCTTACGCTTCCCAAGCTAGCCTGAGACACACAAAAAAAAAAAAAAATCTGTGGGTTAAAGGGGCCACTAAAATCTTTATTCAGAAGTCCCTTTATCCTGCAAGACTCCATATGGTATATATGCTGGTGCAGGAGTGGAGCCTATATGCAGAAAAGCAGCAGTTCTGTCAGATACTCTATAGAATCTAACTGGCCTGTGGAAGCCAACTGAAGAGTGAAAATGGTCAGGGAAAGACACGCAGCACTTTAATATCCTCTGTTTCTGTTTCTGTGACTATCACAGCTTCCATGGGGCTCTTACCTCAACCTCTCACCCTTTCTTGCGGGTGTAAGGCAGGAAAGAAAGATGGGACATTTTTACAGAGCCATAAAGTAAATTTTCTTACTGGCACCTTTAGATTGCATGTCAGGTATAAAAATTACACTGTGTGCTTGAAATACCTCAGGGCTTGCGTTTACATAGTTTGTTTCTATATTTTTATTTTTCTATTTGTCATATTTATTCATAAGAGAATGTTCCTTTTAAAACAGCCTAGAAGGGAGAAAGGTTGTCCCCAGAAGGGGAAAATAAATTACATCAAAGGCTCAGAATCTCTTAATTTTTGGCTTACTTGAGATAATTCACCATTTCAGAGAACAGCTTTTTGCTAACAATATCCACATAGCAGCTCTGTCTCTCTGATGATCACTAGTTCAGATTTCTGATGCAGTTGTTCCATACACGATGGGGAAAAAGTTCAGCTAAACTACGTATCTCATTGAAATGGTCCATGATGTCTAACAGGACTTGGCATTTACAAGTCATGGGGTCTTTATTCCACTGAAACATGATGGAAAGGAATGGGATTTCAGAAAACGTGTGCATTCTAGTGCACGTGTTTGTGTGGAGTATACATCCCTCATGATATTTCTCTCTCACTTCCCAAAGAAACTCAAACTCCCATCAGTTTTCTGTTACTTCAGGACTGGAAATAGTGTTGCTGTTCCGTGTACCTGATTTAATTGACACATCTTGCTGTCTTTTACATAGATCTCTCGTTTCAAATTGTTCAACCACAAACTGTGACACTGCAACAGCTGTGCACTAAATGCTGGGTACGCAGCAGGCACTGCCAACCGAGCCGTTTCTGGGCCTGGCTTCAGGTATCCAGCTGACAGGGAGACGTTATATCGTATGCCAAAGAAGAGTCAGGCTTGTATCACTGTTGACAGCTGATTAGCTATGGATGCCGTGTAAAAATAGGGCCTGGGACCTTATTCTGCAAGCATCAGACCAGGAAATAGGGCCCCAATCTGCTGCGTCTGCTCCTAAGAAAGTCTCAACTGGGAGAACGACACTGGCAGGAAATACATGAGGGTCTCAAGCCAAAACTAAGAAAGTAAATTTCTCACAGCAGACAACTGACATAGCCAAAGCAATTTCCTGGATCCCAGGTACACTCGAGACCGTCCCTACAACTGGTTCTGCTCTAAATAGATAATGGGATAGTATACAACTGGGGTGTTTTCTCCCAGGGTAATACTGACAGAAAGAAGAAACCTGTGTATAGTGTCATTTTTGCCACTCAGAGCAAGACAGCTTTCCAGGAAAACCCGTAAAAATAGCACAATAGGGAAGCCAGTGGTTCAGGTTCCAATATTATTGCCCTACAGGGATAGAAATTTATTGCAAATAAAGCTATTTCCTTCTGTTACACTCCCCCTCGTAATGACAGTATTTTATTTATTTTAAACACATCTACACATAATTGGTTTTAATTCCTCAAATTTGTAGCACCAGAATGTAGTGACAGGACCAGAGTTTACTTCTTTATTTGTTTACTGTTTCTTCAGTAAGTTGGAAGATGCCCACTCCTGCTTTTGAGATGCACTGAATAAAAAGGCAGCTTGCAGAAGCTTCTGTTGCTTCCCCAGCCCCCCCACTCCCCCAGAAGTACAAAAACATCTAAGTGCCTTATGAAAACAGGGAAGAGTGGTACACAGAAACCTTCTATAAATTCAGACTTGAACAACCTAACTTTCTGCTGAAGCGTTTTGGGTTTGTGTTTTTTTGTTTTTTTCCTTCCTCTGAACAGTGCATTTGTTTTTCTGAGCATAATTACTGCTTATACTCTAGGGTTTACTGCTGTTTAGGTATACGGGATACTTGCACTGCGTATCGGGAACACAATAATACCGGTTACTGGTTTAGTTCTCTAAGTTGTTGCTATAACTTAAGCTGGAAATCAACATGTTATGCATCTACTAGTGCCTTTAACAGAATCCAGAGATATAGCCTCTTTTGTTGTTTCCTGCTGTTGTGAGGTGCATAATGTACTTGCAGTTTTCTCTGCATCTTAGTAACTGAAAGTCTTTTTTAACTCATTAAGGGACAGAAGCTACAGCTGTTCTTTCCCTGTCAAAGCTGTAAGAATTCTTTCCTGTTGCTTTTAGATCATCACTTGTTAACAACTCCGATTTCCATTGACTAGCTTGAGCAGCCCTTTTTAAATGCTCAGATGTCACAGACGGGGTTATGGCTATCAAAACTGGATATATAGTGCCCACGGTTTATTGTGCTGCTGCTCTTTCATTTCAGCTCTTGAAAGTGCAAAATCTTTGATCTTTGTCAGCAGTACAAAATCCTTTCCAAGCAACTACACCATATGTCTTCAATAAGACAGCTTTCCAAAGGTAATTAAATCCAAACCAGTACCTAAACTTCCTCAAATACAGTTCACGCTCCAGAGTAGCATGCCAGGATTTAACTAACAAACTCCAACGCTTGTATGCCCCAGGTACATAGTAACGGCCGTATCAGTCAGCAGAAGCACCCTTTTAGTCCTGTCCCTTGTACCTGGCTCAGAGGAAAGCGACAAAAGATCAAATCCCTCCAGGTGATAATTCTGAAAGCACATCACACACGTTTTCTGCTTCTCCTGTCAAACAGTTTGTTCTAAAGCATAAAGATGTAAATTGTTGACGCCCGTATTGTATCTCTAAACATCACTATTCGCATTCCCCTTGTCTAATTTTTCTAAGTCACTGACTTCAGTGGGAGCTTCATTTATTACAGGAAAACCTCAGCCAGTTTTGATGTCTTGCAGAGATTGCACAGGAGCTGATGAAGCACAGCCCTGTCACATCCCTACAATGAAGATTCATATTTCACTTTTCTTCATACTGAAAGTGATAGTTTTATAGCAAAATGTATTTCATATGTATTGAAAAAGCAATTGAGTTATCTTAAGCCTTTAAATGCTATATCTACAGCCTTTGGAGGCTACTGATTAACAGCATCAGATGCTATTCATAGAAAATGTACATAAATAAAGCTTTTTTATCTTATTTCTTCCTCTCTGTTGGTGCTCCAGCCACTAGGTTCTCCAAAACACAAACCACTTCCAATATAACATATTTGTTTCTATAGCACAAATTCTGATTTTGGACAGAACTGGCATATCGGTTTATGCTGCAAAGTCTGTAGCAGAATTACCTCTATGGCAGCTTTCTTTGAGAGAAAAAAAAAAGAACAAACCAAACTTATTCTGTTGCTGAAATCAGCTTTCACTTCCCTTTGGTCTAATGTGTTCTGAAGTGGCGTTTTATCAGCTTTTCTGTCTTGAATCTGAAGCAACTTTCTAATAAAAATAACCTGAAATAAACGACTACGAGGGAGGACGTGTCTGTGTGCGCTCCAGCCTGCGCTGGCAGAACCCGGCCCCCACGGACTCCCCGATCCCACGCCAGGGAGGTTCCGCCACCCATCCCCTCCCGGCGGGCGGCCGGCAGGGCGCTGAGCTCCGGCGGCCAACAGGGACCCTCCCACCGCGGCGGGGCTGCCTTCGCCTCACCTTCTGCATCCCCGGCTCTCGGGACACCCAGTGCGCCGGGGGCGGGCCCCAGCTGAGGCGGCAGGCGGTCACTCGGAGGGGCGGGCGGGCGGCCGGCGGGTCTCCTCCTCAGGGAGCCGCGGGCAGGCTCCAGGCGAAGGAGCAGGGCCGGGAACCGGGGGCCCCGCCCCGGCTCAGGGACGGGGGCGGGGG